CTCGTCCAGTACAGCAGATGATGGCACCACTCCCAGCGTGGCAAGCTTCTGAAGGGAATTATCCATTTGAGTACGTTGGGGTGGATTTGTTCGGACCTTTTGTAGTGAAGAGAGGCAGAACCCTATGTAAAAGATATGGCTGTTTATTCACCTGTTTGAAAATGAGAGCTGTGCATATTGAGATGGTTCATTCGCTAACTACTGATTCATTCGTGCTAGCATTACATAGATTTATAAATCGCCGGGGTGTACCGAAGATGATGTTCAGCGACAGAGGGACTAATTTTGTTGGCTGTCACGCCGAGCTTAAAGAGTACTTCGAAGGTCCTCAAACGAGAGTTCAGGAAGAGTTACTGAAAAGGAACATCGAGTGGCACTTCAATCCACCACATGCCAGCCATAGAGGTGGGCTATGGGAAAGACTTATAGGAATTATCAAGCGTATTTTAAGCTCCATAATTAAAAACCAGAGTTTGAATGACGAAACGCTGGAGACATTTTTTTGTGAAGCTGAACGAATATTAAATGACCGGCCGTTATCACCTGTGAGGGACGACGTCAAGGATTTTGATGTGTTAACCCCAAATAAATTATTGTTATTGAGAGGCAACCCTGGCATAGAGGACGCAAGCGGGGAAGGAATACCTACGATTAAAAGATGGAAACAAGCCAGGCACATGAAAGATATATTTTGGAAAAGATGGTTAAAGGAGTATGTTCTAACACTGCAAACCAGGGACAAGTGGAAAAAGTTGTGCCGAAACTTAAAGGTTGGTGACATAGTATTAGTAGCAGATAAATGTGCCACAGGTAGGTGGCCTTTGGGAGTGGTAGTAAGGCTAATCTGTAGTGGTGATGGATTGGTGAGGACGGTTGAGGTGAGAACAAGTTGTGGAATGTTGGTGCGAGATATTAGAAAACTGTGTCTACTGGAAGGTGCTGAGAGTAGAGAGTCGGAGGATGAAACACTAGACGATTTTCCAACCTAGAGCGTCAACCTGAGAAGGGTTGTAGGCGTACTGCTGTAAGTCCTACAATTCTTCAAAGGGTAGCGCATCAATGAGCAGTCCAATGTGCTTGGTGTGTGATTTTGTACATATGTTCATATTGTATATACTGAATTGATATCATCTGTCATCTAGCTGTTGGTAATTCTGTTTGTGTCCGGACGACTTCCACTTGGATCATCAACCTGAGAAGGAATGTAGGCGTACTGCTGTAAGTCCTACAGTTCTTCAAGGGTAGTTTGTCGTGCCAGAATCCACAACATTTGATGTAGTGATTGTACATATGTTTGTGTTAAATAGTTGTGTGAGTTCCAATTATTGTAATTGTTGGTTAATCTTGTTTGTGTCCGGACATTCCACAACTTACAATCGTCAACCTGTGAAGGGTTGTAGGCGTACTGGTGTAAGTCCTGCGATTCTTCAAAGGAATTCCATCAAGATGTGATCCGTGAGTTTGTGTGTACTGTTTGTGTATACGTGTGGTGTCATATCAATTGGTGTTTTTGGATTCATTGTGTTTACTCGTTGTTTTCGTACCTTGTTTTTATTGCATAATTTTGTTAAAATTTTCGTCGTGATTACTTCTGAAGTTGTTTCGAGTCTTCTACATCCGTGAATGAATTGATTGATGTTAAGGACAGCAGATGGGTCGTATACGCCGGGGGGCTAGGCTATTGCTGAGAATGAAATGCATACGGAGATAATTGTTAGCTGTGATCCCACACGCCGGGAAGCGGGAGTGTAGACGACTGAGGCTCGCATGCGTCACCGTTACTAGAACTGAGGCAGAATGAGTGACAAGCGATTGCAGTGGTAATTGATAGTGAGTAGATAAGAGGATGTGCGTGGAGTATCGTGAGGTGGTGCTATGGTCACGTTGCATTCTGCAAGAGTCATTCTAGCAAGTGGCGATTGTGTTGCAAGATGTCAAGAGGATACCTTTAACTGGAAGGCGCAGGTCGTCATTGATGTGTGAGATTGTGCTGTGGGTATGCTTGTGGTGTGTTGGCTTTTCTGTTTGTTTTCCATTTCAGCTCTGTCCGTGTGACCCAGGTTCTCGCAATGGCATCCAAGTCAACGTGTATTGGTCGTGATGGAAAAAAGGGATGGATTCCTTTTTTGACGGGGAGTGTCAATGCAGTTGAAGATTGAACGATCAATTCACGGTTGTTTGCTCAAAACCAACTTCCCCAATTTTCGCGGAGGCATCAATACGACAGTTATCGTCTCATCGGTCGCTGTTCAGAAAGAAGTCAGCAGTAAACCGTCAGAAGTAATATTGTGATTTATTATTGTAATATTTGTTCTCAGACCTTAGTCATACTTGATTTATATGTTGGTGTTACAATAAAGAATCCTCGAGTGGCCAATCGGTGTTTTGGTTTTTGTGTCGGTTATTACCAAGCGTTTCTGAGAAACTTCGAGGAACAGCGTGAGCCCGAGCGTAGCAAGAGCTGGGCATTAACGGTTCACGAGACGTGGCTGACATGCCTATTTCATTACACTTTAGTGATTCACCTTAGCATTTTAATTTTCTAAAACAGCTTTCAATCCCTTGTAAACGCTGTACTTACCTCAATGTTGGTTGGTTATCGTATGCTTACAACCACGGGTTGAGAACGAAACGGAGTCGATTTCCCCGCTCAACCTGGAGGACAATTGTACAACTCAATAACTATACGGCCTGGTTCAGACAATGAGTGTAATTATATATATATATATATATAATTTTTAACTGTTGAAACATTATTAACTTGTAGACAATCTACGATTTATTATTATATCATACTTGATCGTGCCTGTAAAAATGGCATGCATATTCATGTAAATTTATATGTTTATATGAAAATATAAATTATTATTATTAAGGACAAGCTGACGAGTTTCTGTGCGCCATATGGGGTGGCATCTTTGTAAGCATCTGAGCAGGCTTGTAGATGTCGGCAGGTAAAGATAGACGTTACTATTTTTCGTTATGTTTTCTACCACTGCAACTACTTCTAGGTACTGAATTCGGCTTCTACCAGCGTTGAGGAGAGAATCGATGTGAGACGAGCGGAACGGGACAGGCTGATAATAGAAACTGCACGTAGAACCATTCAGGGCCACCTGAGATGATAGCTGTCCTCGTTACTGTAGGTCATTCATGTTTCTACAGTAACAGTTTTCAGCTCTCATACACCACGTATAACTATGTAGGCATTGGACATCAGTTTTGTAGACTACCTCGCCATTCGCCAGTATGCCCATTACCTACCAAGGTTCATTCTTATTTCGGAACTTTGCAAAAATCCAGTAATTTAGCCAGTAATGATATGTTTTCAGCATCTACATTGGAGGTCAGTGTCGCCATTAGTGCAGTTGGCCGACCCTAGGATACTCAGACACCCCTGTGAAGTGTACATTACTTTACTTTCTTGATGTCCAGCTTCAATTTACTGCGTAAACGATGCCACTGTTCCTGAACAAACAATGCTCTTTTTTCTCACAAACTGCGGTCGCACACTGGTATATTGAGCAGGATAAGACAGTTTGGCCGACTGGCCTCAGAATTAGGTTTTTATTTTGGTTAATTGTAATCCTTTTGAGACTCAGCAGCCTTAGAATGCCTCGAAGTGAAGTTAAAGCGTGTCGTGTAACCAATCTTCCTAGGGGGTGAGAGTGGTCCTTCGACAATTCTGTGGAGTACGTAACAATATAATTGTACACTTTTTGTTAGTTGTAGAAATTAGAGACATTGTACATGATTTTTGTTTAAAACGATTCTTGTTAAAATATATAAAACTTCCGTGTACAATTGGAAATACACTTTACTGTTGGGAACTTCGCCTTCTCTCTTGCCGCTACTGCTTACTTGCTTCGCTCACAGAGTGTTGTATCCTTTGGATTTATTGTAGGAGTTCACTATCCTCATCCGAAGATAATTCTACAACCGGCACACAGCATCTACAGCAGACACAATTCCATCATTGAATAATCCCCTGGACTATATAAATAATTTGTAGCAGAGGACTTAAACTTTATATCCAAGTAACCATTTTTATTACTATAACTCATTACTGCATTTTTTGGATTATTATTCTCAAATTTGTAATTTTAATGAGCTCTCATAACAGTCCCCAACAATTCCACTTACCAACTGTCGGTCAGAAACGTCCGAATCATGATCCCCCTAGATAGCAGTTACCACACAGTCGTAATGTTTGACCTCGTTCTTCGTGAGCTCTAACAGTGATGTGCAAAGCAACCCTGCTTGTCCTACAGAAAAGCCGACGTTGCTTAAATGTAAAGATTCACGTCTGACGCAGAATAGCCCATACAGTGAGCACAGTCAACAGTAGGGGAAAATTAAGAAGTGGTAAAAGAGGTTATTCACATAGCGATACCAGATATCGTCACAATACAACCGAAGAAACAACCCTAATGGCTGAGGAGTAGCACCCAGCATTTCATGAAAGCAGAGCGGAAGACGTGGTCTAAGTGGTGACGATGGAATAGTCAGACTGACTGCGATAAGCACCTAGGACTGAAGAGCCGATGCAACTGGCGAGCCAGGAGTGAAAGGATTAACTCCACTCACGGTAACGATACGGCCCCAACACGCAGCACACTATAAACAACATATGTCCAATCCCGTCACTACTCTTTCTGGGGTTGACCAAAGCTAAGACGGTTGAGGGGTCGGACGAACTATTCAGAAGCTGAATGAAGATCAGTAGCCTTATAAACAAAAAACGAGCACAAGAAGATCAAGTTGGCTTACACTAGCTCTTAAAAACAATACTGGGTATTGGAAAACGACACCACTTGTGACGAAGAGATTACAGGAATAAAAACAGAATCTTAATGTGTATTAGGTATCACCAGTGAAACAACGAATATGACCGTGTAGTTGCAACTCATAATATCGCCTTTATGTGGTGATCTTTTGCTAAGGTTCTCTCTGAGTTCAATTTGTTTAATCGCTTCTAATCTTGTGAAAATCATGCTATGATGACATCAGCGCGTTTTCAACAATTTTTCTGTAACACGTTCGAAACTAATAGATTTACTTCATTTTTGTGATCTTATCGCATTTCTTCCTTTTCAGATGCCTGTAAGGATAAATTAAATGTGGTGAACCATTGTTGAATTATGTAGATGGGCTGAACATGAATGATTAACCTTTTTGATTTTCCTTTATATCTTCAGAATTCACTTTGTATTTCTCCGTGTAATCATAATAAATATATTCTACCAGTTTTCCTGGACCCACGTTTTTGTGTGCTTCACTCAATCGTAGTGGTTTTCGGACTACTGTTTGCTTTAACTCTTTCACAGGTGAATCCGGTCCTAGTGCTACAGTCATCTTTACGTTTGGGCAAAGTATGATTGCAATCACATTCATGAAATACTTCCTCGTAAGTTTAACGATTCTGCATTTGTTAGGTGCAGTTTCTGCGTCTTCACCAGATTTCACAACTCAAGGTGAACTGGTAGACTACCTATCCAGTGAGTTCACAAACTATTTCAATTAATTTGTTTCTGCAGATGAGGGTTTTATCAAATCATTGGCTGTTAAGGAGGCAATGATTCTTGTTGATCGTAGATTTTTCGTTAACCATAATCCATACAAAGACAGTCCACAAGCAGTCGAACATGAATCTACTGCCGCTGCGCCTCGAGTGGTAAGTGCGATAAATTTTCGGGTCACTAAGCACTACTATGGAAACATCGTATATCTTGCAAATAGAATAAACGCAAACAGTAGTTCAATACAACGATCTGAAATGCGTTCAGGCTTGTTATATAACTATTCATTGTCTCATGTGATACGTAATACTTTTGTTTATCAAGTTCATGGTGTCCAGGCCGACATGCAGGGTGTGCTAACTCGGAATCTGACACTTACAGCAAAGTCGAGGTTCAGAGTAGTGAAGCTGCCCGAACATTTGACACATTGTAGTTTGAAATATCTGTTAAGTTATGGGCTGTTTATTTCATGAAATTGTTTGCCAGCACAGTTGTGGACTTCAATCAGATAAGCACATAGGATTAGGAATAGGATCTATGTTAGTGGTGAATTATGATTAGTATTAAAGGTCAGAAATGGTTTAGATTCTGCATTCTACAACTTTGTGTTTGCACGTTCAACTGCACTATTCTTTGCTTCAAACAAAGGAGGATGCAGAGACAATACTTGCATTATAACATGTCTGCTTAGCGGCTTATCGGAAAAGTCGCCGGAAATACAGATTTAGTCTCATCTTCAGCGTAAGTGGATATGAGCTACCACCGAAGTTAGGTGGTGGAGAAAACGGCGGTGAATGGTATGATGTATGCAGGCACCACCATTCACACTCTGTAGAGAATCAATCGAAATTCTGACTCCGCCCACAATAAGCCAGTTGGTGCGATGAATGTTATTCTGGTTAATTCTCGTATTCTCCAGGAATCGGGCACCTGTATTCGTGCGTAATTCCTAACAAGCCATATCAAAAAACAATCTGCTGTGTTGAAGTTCAGCTGATACGGTGATAAAATCCTCGTCGTTAAGAGTTTTCGGGTAGCAAGAGTTCTGCAATGTAATGATTACCAAACCTCTGTGTGTGAGACATGGGAGCACTAAAATGCAAAAAAAAACCGTAACACTGGTACCCTCAATCTGTTGAATGAATGGACTGTGACAGTGAATTTTACCTCCTAAACTCCACATCATATAGGGAACACTGAGTAAACGGCAGAGAAGGTGGGATGATTTACTATCTCAACGAGTTTATAGCATTGTGTAGTGAAGAAAATGTTGTACGACAGAGTGGATTATGCGAACTTCAGCGCAGCAGACTAAAGTGAAAGAGACAAGACAACAACCTCATGGCAAAATACTACAGTCTCGGTTGCTTCACAGGTAATTTTTTCATAGAGGAACTGAGTTCATAGATACGCTGGATTCAGATAACTTAGTTTCCCACTGTAAAATTTTATTTCCATTTTGTTTTACAGCATGCACGTATTCTTGAAGGTCTGAAAGATCACATGACAGAGGGTTCAAGCGTCTCATGTGTTTTGTGCGACACTGGATACTTATTAGCATGTATGGCACTTTTTGTAAGTTTTTGTTGATACAACGAAATATAATGATGTCTATTCAGATTCAACATCATTCATTTGTGTATATTGATTTCAAACATCTTATTATAGCCTGCCTTCACAGCCGTATGATTGCCTTTCGTTTATATGATGGTTTTTGTATACTTGGTCATTTATTAATTTTATGCATACTTTTGCACTTTTGTCATAGTGTATACAACGAGTTACGGTGGATGTTAGGAAGACTAGCTTCCCTGAATTTTTATAAACTCACTTAATCTTACCTGGTTAACAGTTGCGGTTCACTTTGAGATTTTGGTTTTTGATTTACAGCTTGATTCCACACTGTATTTTCGGTACAAGTATGGAATTTTCAGCATGGATATCGGGAGCCCAAATTTTGCAGGCCGACCATAGATATCAGGTGTGCGTCGGTGCGGACCCGGACCATTTGCATGGTCGGCGAGAGTCCTAACCACTGTGCCACCGACGCACAGATTTAGATAGTTATCAAAACTACTGTAGCAATTTATTATAATGGTAATATTAGTATTTCGAGATGACCGAATTACAAGAATCCAAACAAAACACAGAGAGGGCGGAATTCAGGAATTAGTATTTAGCGGAATTATAATGCAATTCATATAAGAAACATATTAACAATCAACAGTAAGTATTTAAACAATACAGAGATAGAAATTGTCAATCACCACATCCGCCACACGTCGAATATCTCCTTGTGTATTTATAACGATGTCTCGGTTTGCTTGCAAGTAGCTGCGACCTTCTAACTGATTCTGTGATATCATTTCCATCAGTATTATCTGGACTTATTTCTGAGTTATATACAAAATCAGGATTAGTAACGGAATCATTAATACTATAATTGGAACGACCTACTTCATTTATAAAGTTATATTTGTAAAATCTCAGCGAAATTGAAATGATTAATTCCAACGTTTCGTTCGGCAATCTGGTCCGAACTTCTTCAGGGAAATTAATCGAAATTAACATAACAAAGTTTATATATAAAGGGACACATCTTGTTTTTAAAATTCTTGTCCAATCATGAATCATGCAACAGGTATCAACATGTATCATAAATAAATAAATAGGATTGTATGTTTATACAAAAGTACAATAGTACAATCAATAGGTATGCTAAACAAAACAAAACAAAAATTCTATGAACTATGATCAAAAAACTTTTGACCTCAGACTTTCAAAATTTGTCTACTTTTGTTAAAATATATGTGTGTATGCAGTATATGCAGGATACAATGGTGTGTATGTGTGTGGGTGGGTGGAACAGTCATAAAACATTTGCTATTCTCATATGAGCTGTGATCAAGATTTGACCGGATAGTTACAAAATAATTGACATTTTTATAAATATTATTTAACTTTTATAGCTTTGTTATTCTCTCCATAAGAAGACGTAGACAGTTGGGAATTTGACTAAGTGTGACTACTAGATCATACATATCAAGTTTTACTTTGTTTATTAGTCAGGATTTGCCATGCATCGGCTAACATCACACCTTCACGTCTGTTTAAACTGTTGGGATTCACCCATATATGTAGGGCTTCTGCAGTTAATCTTTCTTGATATGAACCAAAACCTTTTTGTAAAACTTTAGTCTTATCAAAGTCGATTTTGTGTCCCGTTTCTATTGAATGTTGCGCGATCGCTGAGTTGTTTTCTAGCTTCTTCAAGTCTGCAGAGCTCTTTGGAACCACTTTTAGACATTGTTTATGCTCTTTCATTCTTATATTTACCTGTCTAGAGGTTTCTCCTACATATACTGCGTTACCATCCCCACAATTGATCTGGTATACGCAATTCTGCTGGTTTTGTTGTTCTATTTTATCCTTAACCTTCACCAGCAATGAACGTAAGGTGTTAGATGCACGAAAGTACACTCTTATGTTATGTTCGTTAAGGATTCGCTTTATTTCATCGGACGTTTCTTTGCGGTAAGGAACCACCGCTGTACTAACCCAATTCTTAGCAGCAGGTTTTGATTCATCCTTATCTTCACATTTTAAGTATCTTTTTATGAAGGCTTTAGGATAATTATTTGACTCAAGAGTGGATTGAACTAATTTTAGTTCCTCGTTAATATCTTCCTCCTCAGTAACTAGACGTTTGGCTCTGTTGATCAGATTCTTGGCCACAGTTACTTTGGTGGTAAATGGGTGAGCTGAATGGTAATCTAGGTATCTATCCGAATTTGTCGGCTTTCTGAAAATGTTTATTTTAAATTTGCCGTCTAATTTTCTTTTTACTAAACAGTCCAGAAACGCCAACTCATTTTCATCGGATTCAACCTCTTTGGAGAACTTGATGGTTTCTGACATATTGTTTATTAACTGAAAAAGTTCATTTAACAAACTACGTTTGATTATGATGAAGGTATCATCTACGTATCTTAACCACATCTTTGGGGGACTAAGGCATCTCATAATTGCATTTGTTTCTAATGAGTGCATAAACAGATTGGCGACTAGCGGAGATACTGGTGATCCCATAGCAATGCCTCCTATTTGACGATAAAGAACCCCTCTGAACGTAAATAACGTGGATTTAAGACACAGTTCTAATACCTTCATAATTTCGTCGGGATTTAAAGGACAACGATCACTGAGTTCGTCGTCAGCACAAAGTAAATTATAAATAATACTTAAAGAATCATTAACGGGTACATTCGTGAATAATGAATAAACATCGAAACTTGCCATTATTTCATCTTCTTCAATATTAGTCAAATTTATTTTCCTCTTAAATTCATACGAATTTTTCACTCCATGCTCCACTTTCATTTCATATGGGCTAAGAATTCGATAAATGTATTTTGAGAGTTTGTATGTTGGAGAGTTAGTAAAATCCACTACTGGACGTAATGGTACTTCTGGTTTGTGTATTTTTGGTAACCCATAAAATCTACAGGGGCTGCAACTTTTTGGAGCCAGAGTAAACCAAAGTGATACACCGAGCTTTTCTTTTATTGACTGTAGCATTTTGCTTGTTTCAGCCTTCAGCTTATTTAATGTCGCTCTTGATTTATTCGCGTTGAATTTTTCATAAGGTCCATCATTAAGATGATCAATGGCCTTCTTTTCGTAATCTGCAGAGTTCATGACAACTGTGATATTGCCTTTATCTGCTCTTGTAATTACAATTGACTTATCTTGCTGTAGTTGTCTTAATGCCATTTGCTCCTTTTTATTTATATTCGGCGCATTTGGCTTCTGGTTCAGTAGTACTGCTGCAATTTTGTGTCTAATGACGTTTGCCTCTTCGGCTGTCACTGACTTTAACGATGGTTCAATTGCTGGGACTACTTCAAAGGCTGATAAACGCCTTTTGTTTAAATTGAAATTAAGTCCCTTTTTAAGGAGGGATAGTTCATCATCTGATAAATTTCTGTCAGAGAGATTGACCACCACTTTGTTCGCATCCACACAGTTACGACTAGACGGATTTTCAAATTGATGGTTTTTAGGATTATTGCTTAATTGAAGCAACCTGTCGAACTTTCTGATTTGTCTTCTTTTTGAAGATTGAAGATAAAATTCTTCTTTAAATTTAAAAATGTTATCAATGAGAGACTTCAAATCCGATGTGACCAAGACAGATAAGATTTCATCTAAATTGGACATTCGAATACGAAATAATTCCATATTTTTGGTTGCTCTGTGGACGCGTTCTCGTACAAACATTCTAGTTGCGGAAAGAGCTACTTTAATTGATCTGCTAGAGTTATCAGGTGATTTGACAGTTATGGATTTAGGATAGATATTCTGTTGCAGCAAACGGAGATTGAAAATGCAGACTTGAAGAAGCTAGAAAACAACTCAGCGATCGCGCAACATTCAATAGAAACGGGACACAAAATCGACTTTGATAAGACTAAAGTTTTACAAAAAGGTTTTGGTTCATATCAAGAAAGATTAACTGCAGAAGCCCTACATATATGGGTGAATCCCAACAGTTTAAACAGACGTGAAGGTGTGATGTTAGCCGATGCATGGCAAATCCTGACTAATAAACAAAGTAAAAACTTGATATGTATGATCTAGTAGTCACACTTAGTCAAATTCCCAACTGTCTACGTCTTCTTATGGAGAGAATAACAAAGCTATAAAAGTTAAATAATATTTATAAAAATGTCAATTATTTTGTAACTATCCGGTCAAATCTTGATCACAGCTCATATGAGAATAGCAAATGTTTTATGACTGTTCCACCCACCCACACACATACACACCATTGTATCCTGCATATACTGCATACACACATATATTTTAACAAAAGTAGACAAATTTTGAAAGTCTGAGGTCAAAAGTTTTTTGATCATAGTTCATAGAATTTTTGTTTTGTTTTGTTTAGCATACCTATTGATTGTACTATTGTACTTTGTATAAACATACAATCCTATTTATTTATTTATGATACATGTTGATACCTGTTGCATGATTCATGATTGGACAAGAATTTTAAAAACAAGATGTGTCCCTTTATATATAAACTTTGTTATGTTAATTTCGATTAATTTCCCTGAAGAAGTTCGGACCAGATTGCCGAACGAAACGTTGGAATTAATCATTTCAATTTCGCTGAGATTTTACAAATATAACTTTATAAATGTGTACTTCTCACTCAGCGCTCAATTATTTTGCAAGTATCCGATCAAATCTTGATCACAGTTCGTATGACCTACTTCATTTATTGTCACTTTGTCCAGATTTCTGTTATGAACTGAGGGATCTCTTATGTCTAATATCTTCACCACTCGATTTCCCATTCTTTGTAGTATGATTCCAGCAGAAGGTCTATAATCACTCCCTTTGTAATAATGTACATTAGAAGTCGTGGACATCAGATGCTTTTTGAAAAGTTTTGGAGGACCTTCACGGGTACTTGTATGCTCTGCATTCAACAGACGTAGTCTTTGCATATGCAACAATTCCTCCATTTTAATCAGTTGCTCTCTCATCTCATTCAGTTTTTTTCGTGTTTTCGACAGTTCACACTGTAACTCAGCTACGTCATTTTTGAAAACAGTTGATGCTTGAGTTGCCGAACTTGTAGTGGAGGTTTTCATCGGATTAGATTGAGTATTTTGAAAGGTTGAAAGACACATTGACTTCATTTTACTAGACAGCTTGGGAGAATTATAAGAATGTTGAGCAACATAAGTATTCGAACTTCTGCAAACAGTCTTGATGTGTCCAACTTTACCACATTTGTGAGACTTAGCACCCCGAAAACGGCAAGTGCTTCGTAGATGTAACTTTCCACAGGAAAAACACGGTTTAATGTTTTTGATCTCTCGCTGCATTCTATTACCTGTGGACGACGGTTTGGATTTCTTTCCATGACCACTTCTATTTTCGACTTTAGAAAGCATGACATCAGATACTGACGTAGTGGGAGCAGAGTATTCATTATTGACATCTTCATATGTAATACATAAATCTTTAGCAGTTTGAAGGGTACAGGAAGGAATCTGAATTAACTCTTTCTCTAACTTAGGAATATTGATTCCAGCAATTAGACGATCACGTAGTTGTGTATGCAGCTGATCTCCAAAGTTACACTTTGAAGCTTGTATTTGGAGTTGCAGAATAAAGTCTCTAATCCTCTGATTGGGAGCACGAACCAGTTTATGGAATTGAGCCCTCTCTCTGGTCTCAAATGCAGTTACATGAAAGTGATTTATCAGAAGTTCACGGAGTTTATAATATGGCAGAGAAATTGGTTTATCTGGAAATGACAGAGTCTTTACTAGGCTATACGCATCTAGCCCAATAGCAGTAATGAAATGTGCTGGTATTTTGTCATCCCGAACATTCTTTGAAATGCACCACGCATCGAAGCATTCCAAATAATCAGCAATCTCCCGCGGAGAACCATTAAGAGGAAATTTTCCCAGGTTATTTAGTTCCATCGCGACGCCAATTTGTAGTAATTTATTGTAATCGGAGTATTAGTATTTCGAGATGACCGAATTACAAGAATCCAAACAAAACACAGATAGGGCGGAATTCAGGAATTTGTATTTAGCGGAATTATAATGCAATTCATATAAGAAACATATTAACAATCAACTACCAACGAGGAAAAGGCTTTTTATTTTAATTGTAATAATTAGGCATTCTGATAGTGGAATTGGATGTTTTCCAGTTGAGGTCTTTCAATTTTGTTATGTCTCTAACTCAGGGTCTGAAAGGTCGGAAAACTGGAAAGTTTTGTATTGCTCCCTTATGACTCAGGGCTGCAAGATAATAGTATTACGGTTTGTCGTCATGCGTTTGAAGCTTTTTTGGAAGTGACAACTTTCAGTTGGGCTGTCTTGGTTACTACCGATAAATCCTATTGTAGTCATATCAGAAGCTATACATAGAGTACGAATGTGAATTACACCACTATCACAGCTTACTAATATGACTGTTGATGGTTTTTTGTATCCTCAGAAGGCATATAGAACCTATTCACATGCTTAATTGGCTGATATAGATGACAATTTAATCAAAATGGGTGGGTCCTGACTTCGTCCATAGAGGTCTGTATCACTATCAAATCACCGCTCCACATACGAAGTGAGCTCTTTTGGACTTATCTATGAAGTGCATAACTGATTGACACTGTCATTAATTGGAGTAACTATGCTTACCCATATATTAATGTGTGTACCGATGGTGCAGTTATCCCAAAGAGGATTGGTTACCTCACAGGGTGATAATATATGTTGGTCTTGACTTTTCAGAGGCAGAGTTAGATGTGCTCTGCTCGAATAGATTTTTTCACAGAATGTTCGAGTGGAAGTCGAGTGAGAGAAGACAAATAGTTTATGGGTTTGATGGTATCGTGTCAAGAGAAGATAAGGGTCTATATTCATTTGTGAGGTCAGCTAAAGATAACTGCAGAGAACAGTCCTCTGTCCTGCTTGGAACCCATGGGAATAATAATAACAATGATAATTGAATGTTTGACTGATCTCATGTACTAAAATCCAATACTCACATTGATATATTTTACCACTTTCTTTTTTTTTGAAGGTTACTGTCAGAGGTGCAGTTATCGGAGTTCAAATGAAATATCCGTTGACTATGCTAAATTATGATAAATTTGAGAGATGGATTGAACATACTGGTAGCGTTAAGTTACTGGGTTATCAAAAAGACAAACCATTTCTCCTTTACTCACGTGATCAAACAACTGATGATGTTCCCGGAACAAATATTAGTGCTATTTACTATCATGGAAATGATGAAAATACTCTTAGAGTAGTAAGTTATTTATTAATGAGCACTTTGCACCATCAAAAACTTCTGAAAGTTTGCTCTCATGTTGTTATCGTCTTTAATCATGACTGATTCATTCACACACCGAAAAGTGAACTTCATGACTAGGGAATTTCGTGAGTGAAATTAGTCAAGAAATGTAGCCCACTATAACTGTGTCTATGTTGTGTAGATGAACACCATTTTCAAAGCAGTACTCATTTGTTGGTTTTCATTTCCTGCGTGGGTTGTTCGTGGGTTCAATGTTAGCAAACCATGCAAGCGGTCGCGACTCAATTCCTGGTATGTGCATATCTAAGTCGTGCCATTGGGGTGCGAGTAGTTAACCTCGAAAATAAGGAAGGTTAGTTTTGAGGTTAGCAACCAAACTCCGTAAAGCAAAACATCACCGGTGCTGAAACTTCAAATCATGAAGCCACATATTTCACTCCCACCATCCTAATACTTCACGATATTGTATACCGAGATAATTCGATAGAAGCATAAGAGTAGCAGTCATAGACAGTGACTAATTCGTGCATTCCAATCATTCCAATTTGGTTTCAACAATCCTTTGTCATTTCTCTGATAGCTAATCCAGATCGTAGTTATTTAATGGTCGTAACATAATTTCACTCCACAATTTTCTTAACTGACAATAAAATAACGAAGAGACGCAAGGTGTGTTTTGTCATTTGTTCTTTCACGAGAGTAACGCACTGGTGTTTGAGATGGAAGTAAGATGGTGCCCATAATTAGCTTAGTAGGATACCTTGTCAACCATCCGGTCTCCTAAATTAAACCTTCCATACCGAAGTCAGTCAGCCTAACTGGTATTATCTGGGAAAATCTCACTAACAGTTATGATAAGTTGAAATTTAGAATTCCCCTCTGACCAATCAGTATGCTGTAAACGAAATATTCCCATATCAAGTCATGAAAGAAAGATGTATACATCGAAGAAAATACTTTCTCGACGATTCATTTGTACAAGCTGTACAATCGTGATTATATTTAACAAATAACTCGTAAGAATAGTGAGACACTGGTAAAATGTTTCGTCGAAAACGTATTAATTGATGTAAGGTGTAATCTAGAAGGGTGACGCATCGGGAATTAGTAAAGGGGCAGAAGTTGGCATAACGTCGATTACTGTGAGAAAGTGACTAATCAATATAATTGTGTAGAGTGCAGAGGAACCAAAGGAAACACGATGAGATCTGCATGAAAACCAAATGTTATTTATGAACAGTGCTAAAGTGGTAATGAAATAAGGGTGATAAGTATAATAATAATAGTAGTAGTAGTGAACTTACATTATAAAATGAAATCGAAAGTATAGTGAGAAGGTTATTCTGATTACTGTGAGGCGAGTGAATGTATGTGGTGCTTTTCAGTGCAGAGGTTAGCTTTCAGATCTCGAGTGTTGAGGGTCTCTGTGTAGCACTGCGAAGCATTCATTCAAGTGTGAGTGCTCAATGTCCAGAGTTGAAAATGTGTTCGAGGATGGAGCTACTACCATTCTACTTTTCTCTTCTGGCTGGCTAGCCAAGCTGGACAGTGTTCCAGAATACGTTTCCGCACTTGACCTTACGTATGGCCGATATATTTCGCTCCACACGAAACAATGAACTGATATGTGCACACTGAGGTGGCCAAAAGCGGTACCTTATCCCACACAATAGCCTTGATATATTTCTTGCTGACGAATTTAATGCACAAGGTGGATGCTTGAAATGTCGTCTTCACACATCTAGAAAGACAGTTTCTAAGAGTTTCCACTTCGGTGTCACTTCTGAGTTCCAGATTCATGAAGTTAGTTTTCTTGTGAACAGTTGTGATTATTGGCGACGGAGACTTTTCTTCAAGTTTCTGTGAATGAATCCAGGTGGATACACTGTTCACTTCCAGTAGGGTTGAGGTTAACGTACTTACTAGGTTTAGCTTTCGGACCTGTGGAACATGACGGACTGCATTGTTTTCATTTTGCCCTCCTATCTTGGGAGTAACCTTTAGCTAGTGGGGGTCGTTCAAGTAGAGTTTTATAGTTTGAAAGATTTCCATATCATGAAGTGAAAGTCAGTCTAGGCGAAGAATATTCTTTCGAATAAATTCCCTTGAGGTTGATACAATTATAAAGTAGAACATTTTTTATCGTTACAACCATTGTTAATTTTGCAGTGGATATATCATTAGGTAGATTGATATAATCTGTTTGTAAATGCATCTATCCACCAGATTCATTTCACAGATTGATGATGTCATGATCAGCAATGCACCTCAGTTGTACTATCTCTTGTTTATTCCATACTCGTTTTTACTGGCCACTCACCTGATAGACACATTTTATGACCTGCATCGGACAGGCCAGTTTTCCATCACCACAATGTATGAATCTACTATGATTAATCACCATCATCAACCCTCACTTCACAATATTATTCGAAGCTAAATTTAGTCCGGAACATTCGTCACAGAAATACTATTTATTTTGTCATCTCATAACTAATCTGTTACTCTACGTAAAAGTACATTCCTCGCGAAACAGGCTGTTTTTGCTGAGATGAAAATTATTATCATTTTATCATTCTCAGAGTTTGAAGATGAGCTTTTATTGAGAAGAATATTCTCTGTTCAGGCTGACTCTTAATTCGCTCAGATAACTCTCAAACTGACGGACTAATGCTAGTGTTAAGATAGATTATCGATGTTGTCGATGTGAAAACACGATGGTCAGAAATATTTGAAACTACCGGCTTGCACAGATGTGGGTATCAAAGTCAAGATTCGATAAGCAAGGGAGTGCGGAAACTTAATGAACATGGCATAATTAGTGAGAACCAGACCTTAAATGCCAAGGTCAAGTCAGATAATGCTTCTCTATGGTTGAGAGACCTGGTGTGTGCATGATGGAAACCATTTACAGAAGACTGCTGCAAAACTTTCATCGACAATTGCACACTTCGTTGGCTAATTAAGATCAGATGGCCAGAACGGATGAACAAGCAACACGGAATTGTGGCAACGAATCAGCCAAAAACTCATCGCCTAACAAATATGCGAATGGAAGTAGAGGTTAAAGGGACATACATTGAGATGAATGTTGAGCCAGACTCTGGAATCGTGTGTATTAGTGTGATATGGTGGAGATCGTTTGTAACCACCTGGAATGCATTGCAGAGAGTAGGGTGAAATGGCGATGTGCTGCTGGCGTCCTATATTCCACTTGGAGCCCAATAAAATAAAAACAATGATAATATCATTAATAATAATTATACGAATATGAATAATCTTGATTCTGGCTCAAACTACTCCTAGATTTATAGACTAATACGGAAATTGGAAGAGATGAGCGATGAGCAGGAATATTGAATCTACAGATGTCCTATTGAGGTAGCTCACTCATTTCTCTGTAGGTGTTAAGTATCGGGAGGTGAATATATACAATCAAGTTCTTGCATTCACTGAAATTCGCACGCCATCAACTAACCATTATATATATTGATTAATTTTTTTCTGTTATTATCTAATAATTCTAGTTAGAGGGACGTTTGAGAGCTGGTGGTCGTCTGATTTATGAAAAGACTAGTGGAAGCGGTGATCCTGAATTAATGGTGGTAGATAAATTACAGAACGGTTCATTGAATAAAAGGACACTGACTGAGGTGTTGAAGGAATCTGCTAAAAAAGAAGAAGAAGCAGAAGTCGAAGAAGGAAAAGAAGAAGAAGGAGAAGAGGAAGAATTGGGAGGATTGGACGATTTATTTCCGCCTCAACCTGCTCCTCCTGGGTAAGACTAACTTATTAGAGTGTATTAGTGTGTGCTTATTAACCTTGTCGAAACACTTGATTATAATATGTTAACCACCATTGTCAAAGTAGGGCGAACTAACATGATTTCATTAAATAGTGTCTTCATATTTATGCGAGTTATTGAAGTGACCATAATGAATTGGGTAGCTGAGAATACTCGTTTGTATTCAAGTCATATGGATGATGCATTTGTGAAGCGTCGAGACATGTGCACCAACCCGATAGTTTCACATTGAAATATAAGCAAATCACTGAAGTACACATTCTGATTTTTGTACTTCCCTGTAGTTTCTCCTGTTTGAAATGTACCAATACAAGGTTTGAATTGATGAGTCATTGAAATCGCTGCCGAGGCGTCTGAATGTTCAACGGGCTTCGTCTCATAACCTGACAGTTACAAGTTTTTTCCATGATGAAATCCTCAATGCTATTTTATAGAGGTTCAATGAATTTTATTCATTCTCAATGTTGTTGTTTACTGTTCTTCGTTAACATCTAGATTTCTGTGTGCTAATAATATTCCCCATTTTCGTTACTGTATGTTTCTGTTTCAGATTACCCGATCGCGACGAGTTGCTTCTCATCTCGTCACAAATCAAGTGTATTCCAGACGTCAAAGTATTACTACTGTTAGTCTGTATTGCTGTCATCTCATGCATCCTGCTATTGTAATGTGATGAGTGAGCACTGACTGAACACTGGACTACATTCCACTCACATCATATGTGATATTTGTTGAAATCAGCGATGTATGAACTTCGTGAATATGTTCTGATTGTGATCACTGTAGTTTGAACCACTTGAATGTCTTTCATTTAAACGTTTTTGTTTCAAACCACAATAATATTCGACATTTCTCTCCTCTAAGATTTACTCTTATGATCGTCATCATCATCATCATCATCGCTTTTTGACTTCTCATCTTTATACTTATGCATAGACAGAAAAGTTAACTGTGTCATCGTTTCAAAACACTTATTTCTCCCTCCATGTGTTCGTTGTGAAAATGCTTTTTGATAGTCAGTCTGTGTGTTTGTATGTGTGTGTTGTATTAAATCGTGGAATGTGCTCACAGCATTCTCTATCTGTATAATCTTTGCAAGCATTCGATATATTTTCAGTTGATATTTCTGGGTGTACTAACAGTATACTAACAAGTATCATCATTATAATTTGTTGTTGTTGTCGTTGTTATTGTTAGTTCATCCATCGCACTGTGAGTAGAACTTGGGATTTAAAGAGAGTATCTTCGTTGCGTTGAGTTCCTTGTCATCACGTTGAACTGGCTACGAAACTGTCCACAAACTTTTAATTCCTCTTCACATGATCATTGCTATGTCAGTCATGGATTTGTATGCAGTCGATTCCGAATCCATTCACCTCGATTTATTTCAGCATAATAATGCAGTAATAGCTTCCTGCTTGATTCATTATCTGTCAGAGATCTTTATGAGTCACCACTTTCAATAGGCTATTTGATGTTAGGCACCATGTTAAGTGGAGCGTTGTTAATGACAAAATAGCTGTATTTTCTTAAGATTTATTTGAGTGGTATACGAAGCCTTTAACGCATAAATGAAAAACACTGTATGGTTTATTATTATTATTATTATTATTAACTATTCTCTTGGGTTCCGAGTGGAACATAGGAATTGAGTTGTTTATCTCCACTTTGTCCTGCTCTCTATGGTTCTCATACCGTGATAGTTATTTGTGGTATTACCTTCTTCAATGATGTAGAAACGGGCCACTTGAATGTGGCCAACCTTTTGTTGACTGATGCAGATCGGCTGAAATTAAATAATTTAACCACATGTCGAAGCTTGGTCATGATCACTAACTCACACCTGAATGAGTATTTCCTCTCATTATTATAATACAGTTTTATTGTCAATAAAAAGACTCATGCTCCATCTTTCATATGCCTCATTGTGTTGTGTTGACTGGTTAAAGAAATTGTGCTTTACCCAGCCAGTGAAAGATCGTATTCAATTTTCTTCGGCATATTTGTTGAGCGATGGGTTCTTGACTGGATGGTTCACAGAGTTTCTTATTGCTGATTCTTTCTGAAAACCTGATCTTCAGTGTGGAGACAGAGAAGGCAGCTGTTCACAAAAGTCTGAAGCCAGCTTTTGGAAATGCTTTCGGTGAAACGCCACGTTTCTGACACAAATGGTAGACATGAATAACATAGGTACTGGAAACCCGAATTTAACTCTTCGTGGTGAGTGCAGACGATTTCTAAACTGATTTCAGAGTGATGAATGTCTGGCATGGCTTTTCAAATTTTGTACTTTTGACATCCTGATCCGTGCCATCTGACTTCAGTTGAAACTTTGCTTCCAGGATAATTGAATGAGGTGGTCACTTTTAAATCCCCTCCGTTTATATTGATTGCTGCTTCTTGTCGTTGTTGGTTAGTCGTCTTCACCCTGAGTCACGTAGAACTCAAGAATGTAGGACAAAGAAGAAATTTGGAAGGAAAATCACTATCATTTGAAGAGAATACGTCTAATGGAGTGTTTGTGTTTGCTAACAAATTCGTAGAATGATATGAAATCGGAAACGGTCAGGTCACGTTAAACTGTCAGCTCGAGACTACGGAAATGTATCATCACTAAAGCAAGTGTAAAATCTATACTGGTTGACGTATATATTTGCAGTATTAAAATATGTTCACTTATTGTATACTTCATTCATTCATCAGTTTAAATTTCCTGCTGCCTCGTATATCAACAGACACCATAATGGAGAAGATTTCTAACTCAGGTGGATGATATTCATCTAGTTGTGTTCTCTGAATTGGTCGATTTAATTGCGAAGATTTATTCGTCCTTCTCGGTAACATCTTAAATTAAGGACTTAATATAAAATGCACTCACTTGACTTATCCATGAATTATTTAACTGTACCTCCTGGTGACCATTGTCGTGATTGGTTTTTGAGTTAAGTCCCTATTGATCATATTCACTGACTTGGAATTAGAGCTTTCTTGTCATGTGGTTCACTTCATATTAGCTAGTAAATTTCGTCCATTAGTAGGGGTTATGCAGTTTAAGTCCGCTGATACAAATTAATAATGTAATCCACAGAAGTGTTCACTGCTGGAGCCGTGTCTACTAGTTGGAGCAGTTCACCAGGTGTGGAATAGTCTTCGGATGAGAATGAGAGGATACTGCGAATCCAAAAGGATACAACACTGTTATTAGTGAAGAAAGTAGCCAGAATGGATCAGTGAGAAGACGAAACGTGGATCAGCACACTGTATATTTAGATTGTACTCCGAAGTGATGCATATCTTACAATGAATCGTTTCAAACAAAAGTTATGTGCGATGCAGTGTTTCTATTTTTAACATCTAACACAAAAATGTAAAGTCATATTTTCTGAGACTCAGCATACAGCAATGTGTTTGTGAGTTGGTGAGAGATTCACTTGACTATCAGGCTTTCAGAATTTTCATGGTTGTATTATCGATGTTTCCTCTATTCAGAATTTCTACATCATCCCAACCAAATTGTTTCCAGTAATTATCTGCATGCATTAATAGGAAAGAACATACATATGAAGTCTTTTTTCAGATAATTTGTGTTCTTGTATTCGAATCAGACTGCAAGATTCTTATCTCTATAGAAGAATCGACATAATAATTGGTGTTGAATGTCCAGTTTTCTGTTCTTCACTCTGAGTGCATTAGATTTCACAACTGATTTCAGGCTGATGAAAGTCTATCTAGCCTATTCGATCATGTTTTTCATATCCTCATGAGTGCCATCCGCCTGTAGTTAAAACGATATTTTGTAGATAAATGAAGGAATTCGCCAGGATTGGAAAGATCAGTTCAAAATTCACTAATTTGGATTTAGTTTGAAAATCTAATTGACACAGAATAAAGAATGAAATCCGGATTTCAGTTAGCAATGTTAACTAATTCAGTTCGCCTAAATGATTCAGAAACTTGCTATATCCCTCAATGCATTACCAGCGGGCTTAAGACTTCAGTCCACAACTTTCCTTTCCTGATTCTGCAGTGAACATCAGTAGTCCAGAGAGGATTAGCGACAATGAACCCTGAGAACGAACCACTTACAGCTGGTTCCAGAGCCTCGACTCAGACCCGGGTGTGAGACGATAAGTTGGGGAATCTAAGTAAATCGTGTGTAAAGGAGATGAAAGCTAATGGTCAATCGTGGATTCAGCTTAATAGGGCTGCAGACAACAGGAGAAAATGGAAGTGTACAGTCGAAGACTTATTTTCCACTCAGAACTCAAGGGAATAATAACATAATATTTGGTGAAACTAACAGTTCATCTCCTAGGCATGGATCACAATAAATCACACTGTAAATTCGTCTGTTTACCATCACTGTTATTAATAATTATACTTTACACATTCGTTTTTAAGCTCGATTTTATTTCCGCTTAGCACATATTTGGCAAATACTTGTCTCTTGTGCCTCCTCTGTTTTCGGGTTTCAGAATCCATCGAAGGCTGATCAATACACGTTCTTTCCGGCCTTTTGCCTTACGGATTTTGCCTGTTTTATTCTCCTGACCACAGTATAGTTTACACGTGATTACTGAACGTATAATCTTAGATACTTCACTAGTAAAGTTAATCACCATAATATTTAAACGTAATGGCTTATCACTGTTCTTAAAAACTGAGATTAACGACGATTTGCACCAGACCTAAGGGGTTATTTAAGATTCTGTCAGACTGCCTTATATCCTTGACAGTAGTTTGTCACAACCATTTTCAAGCACCTCTGGAGGCATTTCATCATATCCAAGTGTTTTGTGTCATATCAAGTTTAAGGCAACTTTTAAAGCCACAGTTACAGTCCGGGAATCAATGTCGGTATCACACTAAGGTAGGCGTTAGTTGCTGGGCAATTTGTATGCGACCGTAAGCCAGTTAAATTGCTCGCAAAGGTGACCCTGACAACCTTCCGGTCGTCCATTCGTTCTTCTCAAAGATTGTCCCACTCATCGTTTGTACTTCAGAATCTGTTTCCGCAATTAGCCTAAATAGTTATCTGGTGTCCTCACACCAGTGATAGTTTCTGATATCTTTGATTTTTGTTACCCAACACAGTTCACAAAAATCGTGCTCAGTTTTTCGCATTTGAGTAGCTTTCGTTCCATTGTCAGCTTGAAGCTCATTGGAATCAACCCTCCCTTCTCTATTACAAGAAATCCACTGGAATGTACTAACTTTCAGCCTATAAAAATGTATCCAGACCTGACTTATTATTATGTTAAGCTTACTCAGGATGAGTATTGGCATCAATTTCCCTAAGGGCCATTGGTTATTTCTTCCTTAGATAGGAATTATGTGTTCTCATCAGGTTGTGGGGCAAAGCAGCTTTATAACTGCCTGTTTCATATATCCTTGCATTGTTAGGCATATAGAAAAATTATTGGAGTCGAAGCATTTGATGAAGAAAAAAGTAGTTGTCCTTCTATCCACCATCTCCGTCTACAGCCTGATTTTGAAGACAGGGTTCACCAGAGTAGGCAAAGTTCCTCGTTATGTGTGAGATCACTGGTGAGCAGGAACGAAAGTTTATCTGAATAGAACTTTAAAACACGATTACCATTGTCAGTGAATTGAACTAAAGAAAACAACTGCACGAATGTTACATTCCTAGTTCAGATCTACCTAATTC